AGGCTCGGAAAACATGAGTAGAACAAGTAGTAAATATAGTTTTGATAGTAAATACGATTATGGGACAGAGGAAGTCAAAAATGCTTTGGAAACGAAGACGAAGGAGGTAAAATTTGATGAGCAAACCGAAATTTTGGATGAGGAGTTTAACAAGGCTTTGGATGATAAAAATAGAATAATTGAAGGTCAATTAGCGAAAATTAATGAACTTAAAAATAGGTTAGCTGAGTCGGAAAATAAACATGAAGACCAGCCCAAAAGAGAAAAACACCAAAATTGTAGGATTAAGGATGAATATATTAACGAATTAAAAGACGACATTAGAGAATTAAGGAGACTTAGGGAAATTGACCTTGGTAAAGAGGATACAAAAACAATTACTATTTTAAGATTGGGGCAAGAAAAGGAAGATTTAACCAAAGAAAATAAAGAACTTAAAGAGGAACTACAACTTACTAACGAGGTAGCAAAAGAACTGCAAGAAATTGTCGACGATAATGAGAAAATTTTAAAGCAAAATCAAGATATTATTTGAGAATTAGAAAAAGAAGTAAACTTATTGAAGGCAGTTCAAGCAAAAGACGAAGCAGAAACTAAAAAATTAAATGAAGTTTTTAAAGACAAGAAACAAGAAATAGATTTCAAATTAGAGAGGGAAAAAAACAAAATACGAAAATTATAAGAAAAATGCTTTTTGCTTTAATGAAGCCACACATGAAGAAAGAAATCAAGAGTTAAAAGCCAAGTTAGCCGAGCAAGAAAATAAAATTAAAGAAATTCAAACTGAAAAGGAAAGGTTGGAATTGGAAAAAGCAGGATTAGAGACAGAAATAACTAAAAAGAATGGTGAATTAGGGACAATTCAGACAAGTAAAGAAACTGAAACTAACGACTTGAACGAGCAAATTACTTCTCTGTCCGCTAAATTAGAGGAAACTAAACAGAAAATAGAACTAAATGAAAAAGATTGACAAAACCATAATTGCGGTTATTGTGAAAGCAAGGAAGACCACGAACGAGAAACCACTCTGCTCAACGAAAAAATAACCGAGTTAGAAAAATTAGGAAAACAAGTTGAGGAACAAAATACTACAATTACTTCCTTAAAAAAGCACTTAACTGACGAACGAAAAGACCACAAAATAACAAAAGACGAAAGAGACAAATTCCAAACAGGATATAATAACGGCGAGAATACTGTGAATTATCTTATTAATGACCGAGACAATAAAAAAATACAACTATTACAAAAAGAAGCCGAATTGACCCGAGCAACAACTGAGAAGGAAACCTTGGAAACTAGTCTAGCCGAAAGAACCCGACAATTAAACGAAAAGCAAGCGATAATAGATAATTTGAATGAGGAAGTTAATCGCCAAAAAGTAGCCCGAGAGGAAACTGAAACTGACCGAGATAACTCCCAAGCTAAATTAGCCACAGCCATAGCCGAGCGTGATACTGCCCTAAGAGAGAAAGGAAATATAGAAACCGAACGCAATACTTACCGCGAAAAATTAACCGAGGAACAAAAAAAATCACCAAATCACCGACACTAAACTACAAGATGCTATAAGAGAACTCAATACTGTCCGAGGAGAATTGTCTACTGAAAAAAACTGAACATGACAAAACCAGAGGAGAATTGACAAAAGCCCAAGAGGAACGAAACGCTTATAAAACTGACTTGGAAAAATGAGTTGCTAACTTTGGCACAGATAATGCGAATACCGCTAAAAACCAATCAGCCCAAGCCTTAATTGACGAACAAACCGCTCACAAAGCAACCAACGACCAACTGACAACTGCCAATGATGCCAAAACAGAGGCAGAAACCCAACTAAACGATTATCAAAATAAATTAGAAGAGTGAACCAAAAAATTTACCGGAGAGACAGCCGACAGTGCCAAAGGTAAATTAAATGATTACTTGAATGAAATAAGCCAAAAAGACAAAAAAATCTTAGAATTAGAAAACAAGCAAAAAAACATTAGCGAACAATTAGGAGGAGTTTTTTGCTTAAATAAGGAAAAGCATGCGGAAAGAAACAAAGATATTGAAAGTGAATTAGACAGAGAAAAGAACAAAAATACTGACCTAAATGATAAATTAGCAG